CGGTTTCGAAAAATACTAAATTTTTTATAATGAATTAAATATTAATTGGTAATATAATATTTTCTATTATGGAAATATAATTGGATTTATTGGATATTGTATATCTATGGAAACGATTTCATAAAAATAACATAATCCAAAAATTAATTTGAAATACTTTATCGCATAAATAAAAATATTTTATTTTATTACAAATAATAAAACAATGTTTATTATAATTAAAGTTTTTGTTTCAATAACTTATTTTAATAATCATTGAAAAGGTGTTAAAAATAACAGATATTGAGTTTGTGTTAAATAATGACTGAATTTAATAATTGTTTATTATAACTTTTAATTCATTCATTATATTATAAATAATTTAGTATTTTTTGAAACCGCAAAAGTTTAGCAATTAATAAAATACAAACTTGCGATATCATATAATGGCAAATAACATATTGTGTTATTCTGTAACATAGTTATTAAAAGTTGTTTTTGATTTACTATTAATATAACTTACAGTATAACTTAAAGTATTCAGTATAATTTAATTTTCTATTGTGTGTTATAAGATTAGTTTAATACGTAATAAGTACCATTTTAACATACTGTATATACATGTATAGATTTTTTTGAGTTTTTATTATTTTTATATGATGTAGTATTTATTATAAACCTCTCTCTCTCTCTCTCTCTCTCTCTCTCTCTCTCATATATCACTTAAATATACATTATTTACTTACTTTACTATTATAAACAATTAAAAATAATCTATTACTTTAAAATATAACTTGAATTTAAAAAATAAATTTAAATAATTATTTTATTTTTAACACAATATTTATAAATATATAAGTAAGTTATAATACTGTGCCAATAGAGATATTATTATATTTGTTTTTGCAATACAATTGTTTTTGCATTTAGATTATTTTGTATAACATTTCAAATAAAACGTTTTTTATTTAATAATTTTTGGGTTTATTACTAATCATTATTAAATTTTAAAATTATTTTTAAAATCATAAAAATAAATGATAACTAGTTAATTTAATAGCTTAACACGGATATAGATCATCCATCCAACCGGAATTAAACGCAGTTTTCAATGACCAGAAATTACCAGGGGCACCATTGGTCCAGGACCAAAAGGTCCAACCTAATGTGGCCTCATTATACACATTAACCTGTGCCTTGATAAAATCACCAGTGCGAGACTTATTGAATTTACCGCACCCTGACCATTCACCAATGAACATTGGTTTCGCATTTTTATCCTTATAGTAATGATCGAGTTCATATTGAATACTGAAATTAATTAAAAATTTTACAGTATTGTATTATATACATATTTTAAAGTGAATGAGTGCTTAACATGTACTTGAATAGTATATCAATGAGTGCACCTTGGTTCATTATGATGTATTATGTTTTACGTATGATTAAACACTGTTGTTATGTTAGCGCAAAACACATTTCACAATAGATGTTTGTATATAATTATTACTATGCTGATTATACACACTAATCAATGAAAATGTCATATGCATGTCATATTATACAATTTACGGCACTGATTTTCCCCGGATATCTCATAAAATAATATGAACAAGCAAACAACTTTTAGTATGATCGAGTTCATATTGAATACTGAAATTAATTAAAAATTTTACAGTATTGTATTATATACATATTTTAAAGTGAATGAGTGCTTAACATGTACTTGAATAGTATATCAATGAGTGCACCTTGGTTCATTATGATGTATTATGTTTTACGTATGATTAAACACTGTTGTTATGTTAGCGCAAAACGCATTTCACAATAGATGTTTGTATATAATTATTACTATGCTGATTATACACACTAATCAATGAAAATAAGTTTTAATTCATTAACATTATGAGAGTATTTTGAAAACTACATTCAGGGTAAAATTAAGTTGTTTAATTAGTTATAACTAAAATCTACGATATAGTCGTCAAAATTACCTGCCACCAACCAACAGGCAACCTTGCTACATTAACACCATGTTTAGACATTTGAGCAAAGTCATCCTCAATGAAAACGGTTGACCAATGCTTTTCCATAACTGATTTGGCTTTATCACCAAGGCACTTTTCCAGCAAGTAATTGCCCCTTTGTGTGGTTTTGTTGCACCCATTGTCGGTCCATAGTTTGGGTGACATCCATGACTCCACTATTAGCCAATTACCCAAATTGGATCCACGTACTTTTGTTTTACCTGATATCACATCATGTAATCTGTCTTTTTGGCACTGATTTTCCCCGGATATCTCATAAAATAATATGAACAAGCAAACAACTTTTAGTATGATCGAGTTCATATTGAATACTGAAATTAATTAAAAATTTTACAGTATTGTATTATATACATATTTTAAAGTGAATGAGTGCTTAACATGTACTTGAATAGTATATCAATGAGTGCACCTTGGTTCATTATGATGTATTATGTTTTACGTATGATTAAACACTGTTGTTATGTTAGCGCAAAACGCATTTCACAATAGATGTTTGTATATAATTATTACTATGCTGATTATACACACTAATCAATGAAAATGTCATATGCATGTCATATTATACAATTTACAATTGAGTATAAAATTATTTTTTGTATTCACATTAATGCGATTATAATTATATCAAAAGGCTAATGAAGAAATTTCTAAATAATTTTGTTTATAATTATATCATGTTTGCAGCATTTACTTGTTTCTAGCAATTGTGCAAATATAATAATAATATTATTTAAATAAGAACTTAGTAAGTAAATTAAAGAAATAAATAAAAATAATAAACTATAAAAAATAATTACGCACATAAAATTGAATAAGAAACAATTTATTTAAGGTAACATGTCATTAAGCGGGTTAAAATTAAATCCAACCCTACTATTTAAATACATAGAGGTGTTTAGCAAGGGTACACAACGTTAGCCGGCACCCATCCCCTTTCGAAATTGGTTTTCAATGACCACAATTCACCGGATCCGGCGGTCCACGACCAAAATGTCCAGCCCAATGAAGCCTGGTTGTACACGTTGAACTCAGCCTTGGCAAAATCGCCATTGCGACTCGGGTTATTAAAATGATTGCACGATGACCATTCACCAATCAACATTTTCTTTCCCGGATTTCTACTGGCGAACGTAGCAATTTGATTCTTTCTGTCGTTGTTTATATAACCAATAGCGCCATCGGGGTTAGGCTGATCGGGACCGCCACCAAAGCACGAGTAGTAATGCAAGTCCATGGCCAACCTGGTCATACCCTTTCCAAAGTTTATCCAATGATCTTCGACACCCGACTCACTCAGCAGTGCGCTGATGATTATCACGGAGTCGGCCGAGTGTTTACGTACGGCAGCGTAGGTTCGGGTATAGTAATCTTGCATCTTTCCGACATCCATACCATTGGGCTCATTGAGAAAACAGAAACCGTACAGGGCACTGTGATTGCCGTAACGCTGAGCATACAGCTCCATTGAGTCTACAGTCTGACCCCTGTTTGCATCGTATTTGTCCCAATTTTTCTATAATTATATTTGTAAGTATATTTTAGCATAAACATTTTAAATATTACTGATTTTTTATATAGAATTATCTATATTAAGCATATTAAATTCTTAAATATTCTTTGGTAATAGTGCTTCATATAAAAAGTTTAATAGGTTTCTGAACATACCTGAGGAGGGTATTCAGTGGGTGACGAGTTATCAAAGGCATTTTGAGATCCAGGTGCCGCGTGCATGTCCAATAATATACCGATTCCGTGCTTAGCGCCCCATTCGAAAGCCTTATCAATATATGCCAGACCACCGGTTATGTAGTTGGTAGGTGTGACGTGCCAGTTCAGTTTGGCTTTACTAGCGCCTCCTTGCGGGTCATAAATCTGAACAGGGACAACATAATATTAGCTATATATACATTTTTATGTAGTTTTATGTGGTTATAGCTTTGTAGTACTGTTTAAGGTTATATTATTATAAATGTAGTATAATACTACCGTATTATATTATTAAGTTATAGATATTAAGTTTTTTAGCTATATTAAAGGGGATTGGAAACAAATGGTCTGTTTATTTTTATCCTAATAATATATTACTGGTATATTATATTAAACAGTTATAGACAGTAAGTCTATAAGCCTATTTAAACTACACCATTTTAATAACTAGTAAATAATAAATAAATAAGCTTCCTATAAATACTTTATAACTAATGTAGAAAGTTTATTAATTTGTATGATATATTACCTGCCACCAACCAACTGGGAAGCGAACCACATTAATACCGTGTTTGGACATTTCAGCAAAGTCATTTTCAGTGATAAACGATGACCAATGTTTCTCCATAACAGCCGGGGCACGACTACCCAGGCACTGTTCCAGCAAATAACTACCTTGCTTGGTGTTCCGGTCGCACTTGTTACTATCCCAGACATTGCCTGCCATCCATGCCTCCATCACTACCCAACTGCCAATATTGGACCCAGCTACTTTTGTTTTACCTGATTTCACATTAGCCAACCTATCCTTCTCGCACTGGCTTTGCGCAGAGATCTGACAAAATACGGCAAACAGTAAAACACTTTTCAATACGAGCGAGAACATTTTGAGACAAAATTAATAATATGCTACTATTATTAATTATAAACTCAACTATTAACAAATAATTGATATTAGGTTTGGGTTTATATATACCTATAGAAAAACATGATATCGAAAAGCACTTGAAAGTTATCTTATTATATTTGTCTAGAATGTACCAGGATTTATTTGTACACTAAAAAACATCCTAGTTTTAAGCACTACTATATATCGTGATTAACCTACTTTTAAAATGTTTGTATTTTAGCCTTTCACATTATGGTATATCTGATGTTGCAAAATAAACTCAAAATTTTTATTTTTGTGTACCGAAAGATTAGTGTACAGGTATTTGGATGGGGTAGTAATCAATCCTTACAATTAACTGGCTATGAGAAGTTTTATTTTACACCAATTCAAATAACATTTTCAAATGAATACACAATTATAAAAATTATGTGCAATTATTTGACATCATTTGCAATTACATACGAGGGACACGTATTAATGTGGGGTATATCGAAAAATCAAACATTAATATTAAATGGACCACAAATATTGGGAAATACATTAAATATTCAGAGTGTTTGTTTCAATGGTGGTTTCATTTATTTATTAACAAAAGATGGATTTCTATACTCATTTTGGGGAAAACATATGAATAAAATAAGTAATTTTGTATTCAATGAGATCAGACAAACCTATTTGTATCGAATGAATAAACCAATAATAACGGGTAAATCTGGTGATAAAATATACGAAATAAAATCCAAACATGTGATTGAAACCAATTATATTTCGTTTGATGATTACTATTCACACGAATGGCAAATTACTTTAAATGCTATTTTAATTGATAATAATGAAAATAATTATAACTTACCAAAGGAAATTAAATATACGCACGGTAAATATTGTTTTAAGTTTGTATTTTTATATAAAATTAAATTAATAACTAATTAAAATCAATTTAGGATTAAACCATGAGAATACTTTTGATAATTCATTTACTATAATAAATAAAATTGGGGAAGGTGGTTATGGACAAGTATTTGAAGTACATAATAATTTTGACGATAAGTATTAAGCAATAAAGAAATGTCTACTAAATGGTAAAATTATTATTATTATTATATACATAATAAGTTTATAGAATTATTTTATATTTCATAAAATTTTAAGATTTAACAGAAGAAGAGAAACAAAGCGTTTTGAATGAAACCCAAAATCTTGTGAAATTTCGGTCAGAGTTTGTGATTAAATATTACTTCTCATGGATTGAATGCAATTGTCTTTACTTCCAAATGGAGTTATGTTTCGATAATTTGACAAATGTTTTAGAAATCAAAAAATTTGTATTTAATGAATTGATGACTAATTTTGAATTTTATATATCATATGAAATATTTCAAGAGCTTATAAAATGTGTGCAATATTTGCACGAAAAGCATATCAACATATTATACAATTTACAATTAAATATAAAATTATTGTTTGCATTCACGTTAATGCGATTATAATTATAACAAAAGGCTAATAAAAAGTTTCTAAATAATTTTGTTTATAATTATATCATGATTACATCATCAATTAGTTTCTAGCAATAATTGTGTAATTATAATACTGTATTAATTGTTTTTTAAATTAAAGACTTATTATTATAAATTAAAAAAATAATAAATTATAAGTTTTAAAAATAATTATACACATGAAATTAAATATGAAATACTTTATTTAAAGTAAATTGTTATTAAGTGGGTTATAATTAAATTCAACCCTATTATTTAAATACATATAGGGGTTTAACAAGGGAACACAACGTTAGCCGGCACCCATCCCCTTTCGAAATTGGTTTTCAATGACCACAATTCACCGGACCCGGCGGTCCACGACCAAAATGTCCAGCCCAATGAAGCCTGGTCGTACACGTTGAACTCAGCCTTGGCAAATTCGCCATTGCGACTCGGGTTATTAAAATGATTGCACGATGACCATTCACCAATCAAAAATTTCTTTCCCGGATTTCTACTGGCGAACGTAGCAATTTGGTTCTTTCTGTCATTGTTTATATAACCAATAGCGCCATCGGGGTTAGGCTGATCGGGACCGCCACCAAAGCACGAGTAGTAATGCATGTCCAAGGCCAACCTGGTCATACCCTTTCCAAAGTTTATCCAATGATCTTCGACACCCGACTCGCCATTTTGCAGTGGGCTGATCGCTATTACCGTGTCGGCCGAGTGTTTACGTATGGCAGCGTAGGCTCGGGTATAGTAATCTTGCAACTTTCCGATGTCCATAAAATTGGGCTCATTGAGTAAACAGAAACCGTACAGGGCACTGTGATTGCCGTAACGCTGAGCATACAGCTCCATTGAGTCTACAGTCTGACCCCTGTTTGCATCGTATTTGTCCCAATTATGCTATAATTATATTTGTAAGTATATTTTAGCATAAACATTTTAAATATTACTGAATTTTTAAATTTATTATATAGAATTATCTATATTAAGCATATTAAATTCTTAAATATTCCTTAATAATAGTGCTTCAAATAAAAATTTAATAGGTTTCTGAACATACCTGAGGAGGGTATTCAGTGGGTGACGAGTTATCAAAGGCATTTTGAGATCCAGGTGCCGCGTGCATGTCCAATAATATACCGATTCCGTGCTTAGCGCCCCATTCGAAAGCCTTGTCAATGTATGCCAGACCACCGGTTATGTAGTTGGTGGGTGTGACGTGCCAGTTCAGTTTAGCTTTACTAGCGCCTCCTTGTGGGTCATAAATCTGAACAGGGACAACATAATATTAGCTATATATACATTTTAAGTAGTTTTATGTGGTTATAGCTTTGTAGTACTATTCAAGGTTATATTATTATAAATGTAGTATAATACTTAAGTTATTAAGTTATAGATATTAAGTTTTTTAGCTATATTAAAGGGGAATGGAAACAAATCGTCTGTTTATTTTTATCCTAATAATATATTACTGGTATATTATATTAAACAGTTATAGACTGTAAGTCTATAAGCCTATTTAAAGTACACAATTTTAATAACTAGTAAATAATAAATAAATAAGCTTCCCAAAAATACTTTATAACTAATGTAGAAAGTTTATTAATTTTAATGATATATTACCTGCCACCAACCAACTGGGAAGCGAACCACATTAAGACCGCGTTTGGACATTTCAGCAAAGTCATTTTCAGTGATAAACGATGACCAATGTTTCTCCATAACAGCTGGGGCACGACTACCCAGGCACTGTTCCAGCAAATAACTACCTTGCTTGGTGTTTCGGTCGCACCCGTTACTGTCCCAGACATTGCCGGCCATCCATGCCTCCATCACTAGCCAACTGCCAATATTGGACCCAGCTACTTTTGTTTTACCTGATTTCACATTAGCCAACCTATCCTTCTCGCACTGGCTTTGCGCAGAGATCTGACAAAACACGGCAAACAGTAAAACACTTTTCAATACGAGCGAGAACATTTTGAGACAAAATTAATAATATGCTACTATTATTAATTATAAACTCAACTATTAACACATAATTAATATTAGGTTTGGGTTTACCTATATATACCTATAGAGAAAAACATGATATCGAAAAGCACTTGAAAGTTATCTTATTATATTTGATAGGCTTTCTGTAAGAAAGAGCTATCTCTAAATACAAATATATGAATAATTTTATGAGTAATTATGAATAATATGGGTAAACTAAATAAGGTTTAAATATAACTCATCAAATTATTCATATATTTGTATTTAGAGATAGCTCTTTCTTACAGAAAGCCTATCATTTGTCTAGAATGTACCAGGATTTATTTGTTCACTATATATGGCGATTAACCTACTTATTACATAACCTACTTTCAAAATGTTTGTATTTTGACCATTCGCATTATGGTATATCTGATGTTGCAAAAAAACTCAACATTTTTATTTTTGGGTACCGAAAGTACCAAGATTAGTGCACTAGTACACAACAGGTAGACTTATCTCGCATATTTAATAATAGAGTACAATTTAAAAATTATATAGAGTTAGGGACTCGTTTTACAGCATTATGTAACCAGTACATTTTTAGAAAAATGTACTGAAATATTATAAGGTGTAGGATTTAATAACCGGTCACTTTGGGACACTATAGTAGAATGGTTCTAAAATTTTATATAATTCAGTTGCAATCAATTTGATTTGTGGTAATAATAGTCCTAATATGTGGCTTTAATTCTGTATATATGTTTCATTCAAATGATTTAATATAAGGTAGG